TTATGCTTGGTGAGTGTTGTTCTTCTGCCCATAATGGGTCTGAGAGGATCTTTAGTAGAGCTGGGTTTCTTCTAACGTATTCTTTGAGATTTTCCTTGTCTGGGAAGACTCTTACTTGTCCATCTATCTTGATCGATAATTTGGCTGAGTAGAGTATTCTTGGGTTTGTATTGTTTTCCTTCAATTTTTGGAATATGTTACTCCACTCTCTCCTCTTCTTCATAGTTTCTGCTGATATGACTGAGTATATTCTTATTTTGGAAACTTTATATGTGATTATTTGTTTTTCCCTAACTGCTTGCATGATTTTCTCCTTTTCCTCAAAGTTGGATAGTTTAACTATTATGTGCCTTGGTGACTTCTTCTTGGGATTCAGTCTATCTGGTGTTCTTTCAGCCTCCTGAATGGTTGCCTAGTTTTCATTCATTAAGCTGAGGAAGTTTTCTTCCAAGAATTCTCTCACTATTGTTGCAGATGACTTTTTTGTTGTGTCTTCCTCAATTAATCCAATAATTCTAATGTTTTTCCTCTTCATAGCATCAGACATAGCTCTTTGGTTTTCTTCAGCTTCTCTGATGATCCTATTAGATTTTTGTTCACGTTTGTTAACATCTGCTTGGCTGTCCCCTAAGTCACTGGTGCAGTTCTCTGCTTCCTCCAGTCAACCGTCGAGGTCCGTGTGTCTGCTACTGGATTTTGTTATCTCCTCCGTAGCTCTTGTATTTTCCTTTGGTGTATGGGCTTTATCTCTCGTTTTATCCTTTTTATGCATTGTTTCCCCTCATATCCTGTATGACTCCACACAGCATTCTGAAAATTTCTATGGCAGCTCAATGTCTGCGTCTTCTATGCACGTCATTAGGTTCAGGACATCTTCTGTCATTGTCTTTGGTTTCTCCTGTTTTATCGTTGAGGTCATTGGGCTGATGACTGTCTGTGTTGCATTGTTTTAAAGGAGCCAGGGGCCATATTCCAGGGAATCGAAGAGCACCGGCTCTATCTGGAGACTTGTAGGAATGCTCCTTCCAACTGCCAACAGCTTATTTCACTATGGAATTAGCCTACCACTTTGTCCTCCTGTGGCTTCCCTCTCAGCGGAGTGTCCAACAAGGATGGTGGGTTGCCTGCTTTGGTATAGAACACCGTGAATGGTGGGAAGAATTGCCTTAACCAGGTAGATCACTGTGGACGTTGGGCAGAGGTTCCTCCAGCAGCGTGGAATGTTGGTGAGTGTTGGCCGAGCTACCTTAGGCCATGTGAGGCACTAAGGTAGGCGGGAAGAAGTTGCCTCAGTCACATGGGACAACACAGGAAAAATAGGAGCTCTCCCAGCCACACAGGCAGGAATTCCCTGGGAAGAAATTGGGCAGTTGGGCAGAATATGCCCTGGTGGGAGTCAGCCTGGCTTTCCCCAGACTCCGGCTACGCTGCACAGGGTGGAGCTCACCTACCTGGGTGGGGAAAGGTATAAATGCCCTAGGCTAAGAGGAGTGGTCTGGAGGTTGGCAGTGGAGTGTGCGAGAACAGGGATGATACAAATAGGGGGAAAATCTAAGCCCACTGAGACTGTGGGAGTATAGAGAGAAGAGAGAGAAACAAAAGTAACAATATAGCTTAGCCCCAATCCCTGCCCCTGGGGTTTCAAGGGTTTAATCCCTGCCCCAAAGCAGCAGCAAGCTATGGCTGTGTTGAGATAAAGCCCCTGAAGTGGTTCCAAATGGCCCCGGTTCTGACTGAGACAGTGGTGGGGCTAACATCAAACGTCCACTGTGGTAAGCCAAAAGCCACAGCCCCTCAAGACCTGATGGATCTGTGCCTACTTATCTTTATGCTGCCCCTCCTAAGATCCAGCATTGTTGAATTTCCCTCTTGGTAATTCTCCTGGACTGATTTCTTTAGAGTCCCTGTGGTATGTGTTATTCAGTTGCCATCTTCTATTATTTCATTCTTAACTTTCCTAACAATTCTATTCCTTCCTAGTGTTAACCAAAAGAGGAATCCAGATTCTTCTCCCTTATTTACTAAATTAGTACAACACAGTATATTAATGGGTAGCAGAATTTTACAGATTTGGAGTAATAGATAGGTTTCAGCCAACTGAGAATAAGTATATGAAGTAAATATTAGATTTCTCTCATCTTAGAAATTCATTAAATAATATATGGTAGTTACATAATCTGGTGTCAGTTTGAGAGGATTATGAGTGAAGGTCTGGAGTCTAGCCTATCAATCAAGATATAACCAATGAGGTCTCTATGTGGGCATGGCCTTCTCCTGAGAATTCTGGGAATTCCTGGATTTCCTTGTTGGAGGTGGGAGACAGACTCTCTCTCTTGGCTCACTCCCTTGGAGACTTTCTACTGATAAGGCTGGCTCCCTGGGACACATCCCTGAGGATAAGCCACATGGACCTACCCTGATGCAGCCCTGGGTGCTGGAGAAGCCTCGTGGAGACCCCTACTAATGCTGAGATGCTTACAACACCACTGTATCCACAAGACTTCCCACCCACTGGCCTGTGATCTTGCTGCATTTGGCATCATTGCATGTGTTTGATGAATCAGAAGACTATAGATTGGTATCAGATTTAGGGGCTAATATCAGAATTATGGACTTGATCTGGACTGGGCTGGGATGTTTCCTCAATATTCAACTGCTCTTGTATATAAACCTCTTTCTTATACACATATGTGTGTTTATGAATTTGTTTCTCTACTATACCCAGATTAATACACAATACTTAAAACTCAGCAAGGTCTCTGATTAATATATTGTCCATGGCCTTATTGTGGAAGAGAACCTTTTTCATAAATTTTAAGTACTTCAAGTACCTTTTCCCACATACTGAAAAAAAATACCCTCTTCTACCTTATATTGTACTCTATAGGTTTATACCTGTCAGAATCTAGCGAGGAAATGCAAACTGTGTCAGTTGTTTGAAAGAAAAATTTTAATATAAAACAATTGTCAATTAAGAGTACAATATACATTCCCCTTCGTTCCATGTAGATCATTCTCCAGCATATATTCTGAGCCATAAAACAAGCGCCCACCCCCCAAATTTAAATTAATGTAATCATAAAAAGCATATTTTTCTTGATGGCAACATATGTACAGAGGTACTTGACACAATGGATACCTGTATGGATTGTGATAAGAACTGTAAGAACCCCCAATAAGATAAAAATTTTAAATAAATAAACATTTAATGATTTTTTTTTTTAAAGAGTATAACTGTCCCTGTGGGTTTCTGAGATGGCAACTCTTTACAGGAGTAGAAAGCCCCATCTTCCTCCCAAGAAGACGCTGGTGGTTTCTAACTGCTGACCTTGTGGATTGCAGCCTATTATGTAATCATTATACCATTGGTTGTCAGTACATTCCTCATAACTCAAATGTTGAAAGTTATCTTTCCAAGAAAATGTTTTGAAAATAATGATGGCAGCATATGTCCAAGTGTGCTAGATACAATGGATGTATGGATGATTATAAGAGCTGTAAGAGGACAGTGTAAGACATGACAAAATAATAATAATTTATAAATTATCAGGGGTTCATGAGAGAGGTGGGTGGGAAGGGAGGAGAAAAAAATTAGGAGCTGATATCAAGGGCTCAAGTAGAAAGAAAATGTTTCGAGAATGATCAGAGAAACAAATGTACAAGTGTGCATGAGACAATGCATGTATGTGCGGATTGTGTTAAGAGTCGTATGAGCCCCCAATATAATGATTTTTAAAGCCCCCAATAAAATGATTTATTTTTTTAAAAAGAGAAAAGAAAAGTATCTTTTCTAACCATAATGAGATAAAACTAGAACAATAGAAAGAAAACTGGAATATATAAAATATATGGAAATTTAACAACACTCGAATAAACAACCAATGGTCCCCCCAAAAAATGTGTTCACTACTAAGAGATTCTTAATTACTAAGAAAGGTAAAATAAAATACTAAAAAATACAGGAATAGTAGCTATATGGAGCAGCCACTGTCTCTGGAGTGGAGGCAGAGTTCCCAATCCCAACAGAAATTTGGGAGAGGGACCCCTGGAAAAAAAAAAAAACCTTCAGAGTTCATTGAAAAAGGAGGGGCTGTGGACCATTGGGTGATAAACAAATTTGCTAACATGCCACGGGCAAAGACAGGTGCTGCAAACCTCCTGTTGAAGTAGTAATGATTTCTCTCATCTTAAAAGTCAGTCAACCAACCATTTCCCTGGAACTTTTTGAAGAAGCACATTTTCTGACCAGATTGCCTCATCCCCTCAAAATAGAGGTAAGGCCCAGCACTCTGGACAAAATCAAGTTGGATAAAATAAACTCTCTATTACTGACTATGCTGCACTCCTTAGACTATACCGCAGCATGCATCCTTAGAGGTACAGGTGGCAAGACTTCATCTCACATACACTTAACATGTTATCAGGAGAGGCCAGTCCCTGGAGAAGGAATGGATGGTTGGTAAAGGAGAGGGAGAGTAAAAAAAAAGAGGAAGGTCTTTGACAAGATGGACTGACACGGCGGCTGTAACAATGGGCTCGAGCAGAAGCATAACTGTGAGACGGATGCAGGACCAGGCGGTGCTTCTTTATGTTGCATGTTGAGTCATTATGAGTCAAAACAGACTCAATGGCAGCTCACAACCAGAACAACTAAACTTCAGAGGATCCACCCCATCTCCTTCCACATACAAGCAGTATACCATAGCCTCAGGGTATTGGTGATTACCAAAGTCAAGCAACCTTCCTTCGCCAAATTCTACCTACACTCCCCAACTCAAACAAAAGGCAGCTTTTTTCTTCCTACTATGGAAGTGCAAGACATGAACTGGAAATTTTCAGAGTCACACACACACACACACACACATACACACACACACACACACACAGTTGGTGTGGGTAAAATAAAAAATCTGTGACTCCAGGTGTCGTTCAGCACTCCCTCCAGAAACTTTCACCTTGTATCAGGAAGAGCAACTATCAGAGTCAGGGACAAAGATGACCTAAGGGTGAGAGGGGAGTAATGGAGATTCAGGCCCTGGAAGAGCACCATCAGCCCCAGATCCAGGGCTCAACGCCTCCCCTGGAGGACACAGAACGTGGCGTCCCCTGGGCCCACCCTCCATGGAGCATATGGTAAGGGACTGGGGTCCTTCCTCAAGCCTGAAATATGGGAAGAGGGTCCTAGAGAAGGGAGCCTGAGAGAAGGAGTAAATGTGGGAGCCATCAGTCATGTTGTAGAAGGAGACATCCCCACCATCATAGTCCAGGAAAACCCCCAGCCTGCGGGGAAACTCTCTAAGAGTTAGCTCTGTCTGAGGGATGGTACAAGCACAAAATTTCTCTGAAAAATGTCCCACAGCCCAGAACCCCTTTTCTGGGCACTCGCTGAACCAGCCTTCCCTGTCTGCATCTTCCCTGCAGACGCCGACAGTCCATTCACTTCTGTCTCCATCCCTGACCTCCACCTCCCAGTGACATCGCCCTGATGTGATGCCTTCATGGCCTAATACACTGCATTTGTCATCATCCTTGGTTTTATCGGTGTTATTCCAGCTCAAGCGTGTGTTTTCCTGAGAGAGGGCCAGGTTGCGATGAGCAGAATGTGGATTCAAAGTGACAGACCCTGTAAAGAGAGTTAGTAACTTTTGCAAGCCCCTCCCTGATCCATAAAAGGGACACAAAACCACCTGCCCTGTTAGGAGTTTACGGAAAGGGCTAAGCACCATGAGCTGAAAGAAACAGACTCAAGGCCACAGTCCTCCAATTAAGAGAAGGAATCAAAAGACAGATTTGGGCACTAGCTCCATCGCAGGGCCCTTGAGGACTAGGCTAGACTCCAGTGACTCAGAGATATCTATTTAGCATCCAGCACCAGACATGTCCCCTTACATGAGTGTCCTTTCTACCACCCGGTCTATCGCCATCAAATGTGCCTTTATCTTTCTCACCACATGGGAATTTTAAAAGGGGCCAAACGCCATGGGGCAGGCAAGAGGAATTCCCAGAACAAATCATCAATTCACTCACAGGTCAGGAACTGTTCCTTCCTCCAATCTACAAGAGAGCCACAGATTTTATGTCAGAGAAAACTGCACATGTTACACATCAAGATCACTACCTCTTCTTACAAAACATAGTGGTGCTGCAGTTATAGTGGGGAATGTTTTAGAAATGTTAAACTGGTTTACTTATTTCCTTTTCTCCCACACACCCCCACAACATTCCCCTTCTACTGAAGTCTGCAAATTTCCTAAGAAGGCTAATCTACGAGGTTAAAATCAAGGATTGAGAGGAGCTGACTACCTGCCCAAACAAACATGCCACTGACCATCTGTGGCCATAAAATTGCACTTTTTTAATCCCTACCCGGGCAACTACATTTAAGCCTGCTCTTTGCTGAGGAAGAATTGGGGAGATCAACATTTCCCAGGCCTCTGTTTATTTACCAAGAACTGACTGAGGTGAACTTGAAAGATGGGTCAGACCATGAACAGAATGAATGACAAGTGGTTGCGCTGAACCCACAAAATGACTACAAGGGAAGAGAATGCAGGATATAGCCGAAAGTGACCCGAGTTAGAAGGCAAGGAGAGATGTCAGGGAAAGAAGAAAAGGAAACTCAAAGCAGGAAGGATGTCCATACAATAAGAGATCAGACAGTAGGGGCTTTTCTATCTCTTAACGTAAGAGAGTGGAAGAAAACATACCCATATAGCCATGGGAAGACCCCAAAATATTGTATCGAATCATGTGCTTCCTCCAAGAATACATGAAGAAGTCACCGAGGATATGGGTGATATAAGAAACTAGGTGGTCTCAAGCTATTAGAAGGAATAGTGTCAGGAGTCTTAAAGGCTTGTCTTCAAACAAGCAGCCATCTAAGCAAGGCTTAAACTGAGTCCACAGGGAAGAAGCATGCCAGTCTGTGTGATCCAAGAATTGCAAACAATACAATCCGAATTCGGAAGGAGGGAATGGTATCACAGCTTAAATTGTGAACACCTGGTTGGCAGAAGGCTATGGAAGACAATTGAAGCCCAAAATCCATTTGAAGGATCCACACATTAATTAAGCCTCCAGTGAATCCCTTCGGATCATAGTTGAGGGATGTGAATAGGCTTGTTGTCAGACAGTTGTTTGTGTTGTTGTTGTTGTTGTTGTGAGGTACCATCCAGTCAGTCCCAATCCATAGCGACTCTATACACAACCAAATGAAATAGAACACGGTCCTGTGTCGTCCGCACCGTTGTTCCTATGCCTGAACCCATCGTGGCAGCCACTGGGTCCGTCCATCTTTTTGAGGGCTTTTCTCTTCTTTGTTGTCCCTCCACTTGACGAGGCATGTCATCCTCCAGACAGAAAGCATTGTAAAGGCGGTTTTGGCAGATGTGGTTGGATTAAAATGGAATATCTTGTCATTTGATCTCCCCTTTCACCCATTTTAAAGTTGTTTCAAGTTTAAATGGGGAAAAAGGAAGGGGAAAAACACGTGGATTAAGCCTGTGGGGAATCTCCTCTGACCATAGAACAGGGATGTGAATAGCTCGCTATCACACAGAATGCATTGCAAAGTGGATTATTGCAGGTGTAGTTGGGTTAAAATTTAACACCTTACCATTTGAGTTCCCTGTTTGATCCATTTTAATTTTTCCTAGTTTTTAATATTTCCTGCTTTCTTTTCTATTTCAGTTTTTATCTACTTTGCTTTGTTATTGTTATCAGTTTGGGGTTTTTTTTAATGTTTTTCTGTGTGTGAGATCCAGGATAGGTAAATCTATAGACAGTAACCGGATTAATGGTATGGAAGGGGAGGTTGGAGGTGAATGGGAAGCTACTAATGATGAGTACAAGAATCAAGAAAATGTTCTAAAATTGATTGTGATGATGATTATACAACTCTTCTTGATGTGATTGGACTATTGAATTGTTTGATATGTGAGTTGTATGCCAATTAAACGGTTTTTTAAAAAAGAAGAATCCGTGAGAAACCCTACTCTGACAGGCAGAACTTGGGCCCTTGAAGATATCTTTATGCTAAACCCCAGAACCTATATGTACAAAAACAGCACCTCCCTCCCTATGGGCCTCTAACTCAGCAAATACAAGCCGGATTAAATCTGCCAAGTTCATTCAACTGCAATTTTATCCAGATCAAGAACTGCCAACATTTCTTAATGATGCCTTAAACCTTAAAAGATTGACAGCCTATCATCCAGAAATTCTTACAGAAGAGTTTGATAATCCCCTGCACTAGTCCCTGTAGCACTTTTCTGTTTCCAGAAAGAAAACCTAATAATCAAGATTATAGATTTGTTCAAGATTTAATAGTGACACTAAAAACTAATACCCAGATGGTTGGTAGTCCCTAACTCTCATTTATTATTAGCTAACATATCAGTCAAAACTATATCTCTTACATATATCTACATATGCACAGTGCATTCTTTATCACACTGGTACATCAATCTTTGGTTATTTGTTCTTAGAACGATGAAGAATTTACTCAAATATCATACCCAAATGGAGCCCTGGTGGCATAGTGGTTATGAGTCAGGTTGCATTCTGGACGGTCAGCAGTTTGAAACCAACAAGCATTTGGTGGGAGAAAGATGGGGCCTTATACTCCTGTAAACAGTTACAGTCCTGGAAATTCCACAGAGGCAGTTTGACCCTGTCCTATAGGGTTGCTATGAGTCGGCACTGACTCGATGGCAGTGAATTTTTTCAGTGAAGACCTCAACTCTTTTTCTCAGGTTCTTCTTCAGACTTCTTAAAAAATTGTGATTCCTTGAGACATCAAGGCAGGCATCAAAATACTTGCACTACTGGAATAATAATTTCCTAGGCGCACAGCGAGGGGAGAGGGTTGGAAGGAAATGAGGAGCCAACAAAAACGAGAACAAGAAAAGAGAAAATATTCTGGAGCTGATTGTGGTGATGAGGACACAGCTCATCTTAACATGACTGAACTATTGAGTTGGATACCATGTGAACCCAACTCACGACCTGCAACCACTGTCTACCAAAAAAATGGAATGCTCTTTGGTCTTTCTGTTCTATCAAAAGTCTCTTCAAGATGTCTCTTCCAGTTGCTCCTTGTTTTTGTTTTTGTTTTAATCTTTGCCACCTATTCTTTTCTTCCCGATTTGCTTCCCACCAGCTCTCCTGTGGGAAATTTTAGATTCTATAGTTTGTTCTTTCTGAAATATTAACACATGACCCATAATTAGCCCAACATAGGGCTCTAAGCCCATTGGAAAACTAAAGAATTCTCCTTGAAGAGGAGCTGATGACTGAGAAATTAAACGGTACATTTTTGTTCCTGTTACACATACTCAATTTTTTTAATATATTTACACATGGTTCACGAGCCCAAGGCCAAGAGTCCATCCATAAATATTTTGGGAGGGAGGGAGGTGGACCTTCTTTAAAGAAATTATTTCTTTGAAAAGCAAGAAGACTTTAGAAGGAAAGATTTAACATAGGTAAGGAGTCAGAATGTAATGAAGCTAAGAGAAGACCAAGATCCACAGAACCAGAAAGAGACAGGAAAACACACCAAAACCAGAACAATAACAACAAAATAGAATTCTCAGGGCCACAGGAATCCGGAACCAAGCAATCCCTAAAGAAAATCTGACTCTTAGAAGAATCAGATATTGACCTGCCACAGAAATAAATTTTCAGACTGCTGCTTGGAGTCATACATGATATGAGGGAAACAATACAGAAAAAGGATGAGATGATAGAGGAAATAAAGTCAATGGACGAAAGGAATATATAAGACTTAAGGGATGAAATAACAAAATCCAGTAGCAAATTAACAGATTTTGCCAACAGACTTGATGAGGTGGAGAATCGCACCAACGACCTAGAGGATAACCAAGCAGACCTTAGCAAAGGGGAAAAGCAGTCAAATAAGATGATCAGAGAAGCTGAAGAAAATCTGAGAGCCATGTCTGATGCTATGAAGAGGAACAATATTAGAGTAATTGGACCACTGGAAGAAACACGACAAAGAAGTCAACAGCAAAAATAACGAGGGAATTCTTAGAGGAAACTTTCCCAGATAATAAATGAAAATAGAGTAACCATTCAAGAGGCTGAAAGAACACAAAGCCAGACTGGATGACAAGAAGAAGTCACCAAGACACATAATAGTTAAATTATCCAACTATAAGGAAAAGGAGATCATAAGAGCAACTAGGGAAAAAACAAATAGTCACTTATAAAGGTACCCAAATAAGAATATGTTCAGAACTATCAGCAGACCCGAAGAAGAAGAGGAGGGAATGGAGTAACATTTCCAAAAATTGAAGGAAAATAACACAAATCCAAGAAAACCTGACTCCAAAACAAGTAAGTTTCTGAAATCCCCTGGAGGCTAGCAATGCCTAATCGACAGTCGTTGCCCGATTCTTGTCCTAGTCGTTGATAGCACTAACTGGAAGCATGCAGTGAACAGCATGTTTTCCGAGTGTTGCTAACCCTACCATTGGCCTTGAGAAGAGAAAGCTCAAAGGCAGAAGATCTGTGTGCCTGAGGAGGCATCACTGCAGCATTAGCATCTCTCAGCCTCAAACTCACTGCCACTGAGTCTGTTCCCATTCATAACAACCCTCTAGGGCAGAGTAGAACTGCCTCTGTGTGTTTCCAAGGGTATAAATCTTTACAGAAAGACTAATCTTTCTCGTGCAGAGCAACTGGGGGGTTCAAATTGCTAACCTGTGGTTAGCAACCCAACATGTAGCGCAATATTTGAACAGGGTTCCCTCACATCACAAGGATAGGGGTTACCCATCTAAAAAGGGGGATACCAGTCCTATTCTGGTGTGAAGTCTATTGACAGAGGGGGACCAGGATGTATGCAGAAATGCCGGAACATGACAGTCACTTACCGGCAAACAGCTGAGCCTTCCTCCACGCTGAAAGGGAACACACCTCTAGTGAGACTGGAGCCGAATCAGCATGAATCCACGGGCACCACCCTCCCCTCTGTCCTACATGTGTTATGTCTACACTGAGGGAGACAGGGCTGGGAACGAGACGAAGTCCTGCAGAGTGCAGGACGGTCGGCTAGCTCCATGACCGCGGGTCAGGAAGCTAGGATTACAGTTCAAGGTTCACACTACCACTGTGAGTCTGGGGGCAAGTCGTCTAGCTGTTCTTCCAAGAATTTCAAACATTCTGGTTCTACCTTCATGTCACTAAAAAACAGACAAGGTTTATGAAGTTATTTTTCAGAATAAAACATCATTTTTCCGTAATTATAAGAAAGGATCATTTTATCCAACTCCCTTTCTGGAAAATAAATGTGTGGGAAATTACCAAAGTGGAGAAATGAAAAAGAACAAATACCAGTCCTTTCAGGGTAAATTAGCCAATGATTTGAAGGAGGGTTGAAGATACTTCCCAAGATAATAATACCTCTACAAGTCTATTTAGGGTGGTATTCGCTAATTGCATTTTCTTGCAACTTATCTTATTCCTATCCCCAGTGGTTATTTAGTTAGCATCTTCAGGAGCTAGAGAGAACTGACATTCACAGAGAGGAGGATTCTGGGAGGCCAGTAAGGTACACCCCTAAATTAATAACCTGTATTTCTACAACTACTTTCATGAAATCCCTGACCGGCCACCATCTGGCTTCCAGGTGCAGACTGAGAGCCGGATGCTCTGGAGTCTAGAGCACTAACATTAGGGTGCACAGGCCGAGCTGAGAAGAGAAGACCCAGGAGCAGGGCAGATTCCAGTCCCAGCACTGGGAAGGAAGCAGAGCCTCATATCCAGGAGAGCCCCAGGTCTGGGATTCCTCCTCCCACCACTTTCCACTTCTACCCCCCAGGAAATAGAGTCCTTCTGTCTATGCCAGAGAGACACGGGGAGAGGGGACATCCCACCTGGGCTCAGCGGGGCTAGGAGACCCAGGGGAGACTGGAGATTCACTCACCAGCCTGGTAAACCGTCTTCCTCCTTTCTGAAAGGCAACACACAGAAAAGAGGTGAGCACACTGCCAGTGTCTCCCCCACACTGGACCCTGAGCGCTCAGGAGGGAGGACTCACCCAGCTCTGCCCGGAGTCCATCTGAAAGAAAGGAAAAAAGCATGAACTTCCATCTCTAAGAAAAGGAAAGATGGTGAGCTGCAGAACCCACACATTGACCTCCTCTGTAGCCTGGAGAGACTCCCCCACTAGAACCGTCCACGCTTCCAGGGCCCCAGTGGCCCTCTCAGGATCTCTGCTCAGGGCAGAGGCCCTGTGGTCTCTGGACGCCACAGCCCCAGTGCTGCGCCTGCTGTCAGCTTTCTCTCAGCACCGCTCCTCCCTCACCCAGCCTGGCCCTTCCCCTGCCTTACCTATGCGCCTGGCCCTTCCCCTGCCTTACCTATGCGCCTGGCCCTTCCCCTGCCTTACCTATGCGCCTGGCCCTTCCCCTGCCTTACCTATGATCCCTGTGAACTCTTCTGTTTCCTTCCTGTCCTCCGTCTCAGCCTGCTGAAGAGCCTGCTGTCTCTTCTTTGCCTGCTGCTTTGCTGAATGTTCCTTGTAGATAAGATAACCAGCCCCAGCCACCAGGAGCCCCAGCACGGTCAGAGTCACTGCAGAAGCTACCTTCCAAGGAGAGGCCTTTGGGAAGAAGGGCTCTGAGGCCAAACCAAAGCCCCAGTTAGGGTACACTCCGGCCAGCACAGCCCAGCACAGTCAAGGACCCCTTTCCCCCAGCCCAGAACAGGAACAGCACTGACCTGGGATGAAAATGGCCTTCACCTTCTCCTGGTCTAAGACGGGGTTGCGGAGGGAGCAGGTCACGTTCTGCACAGAGCTGTCTCTCAGCA